GTATTCTGACTTGTCAAAAAAGGTGGCAGCCGTTTCGAAATGTGACTCTTTACTTGCGAATACATCCATGTCATACAACTACCATGTCATACCACTTTTCCCGTGGTTTGGTGACATAGCCCCTTTGCTTCGCGAGAAGCAGCGACGGTGTGACGAAGGGCCGAGGCCGGGATGGGGGGATGTGGAATGGCTGGAGAGAGAGAGAGAGAGAGAGAGAGAGAGAGAGAGAGAGAGAGAGAGAGAGAGAGATGCTGTGAGGTACAGGGAATCCTGAGAAGGCGGTTTTTCGCCACGTCGACGCAAAGGCCATGCGCTGTCCCCTCTATAATCAAAGTCACGCCAACTAACAAATTGGATACCCGATTTCGTTACACACACAGAGAGAGAGATTGAGAGAGAGAGAGAGAGAGAGAGAGAGAGAGAGAGAGAGAGAGAGAGAGAGAGAGAGAGAGAGAGAGAGAGAGAGAGACGCCCTTTCGTGGCCACAAGAAATAACAATGGAAGTCTGCCCGTTAAAAATAGACAAAATAAAAATAAAAAAACACAAATGGAAAACGAGGTTGCATTGTGTTCCTTGACATCCCCAACAACATGCAGAAGCGGACATGGCAGCTTGCAGCAAAAAACGTTGCCTTAAAAAAAAAAAAAAAAAATGCCGGAAAAAAAAAAATAAAAAAAATAAAAAAAATTGAAATAAAACAAAAACAAGCGTCCACGATACGCACACCCCACACTTTATGTCTACGCCGAGAACGACGACAAGGTCGAAAACATGCAATGTCCGATTGACTGCAATAGTGCAAGCCCGACAGTTGATGTGGAAAAGGCGAAGGGCGTCGCTGTTTTTCTAACTCGCACAATAAATTACAGAGCGCTGTGCAATGCTGCATTGCATGCGAGAACCCTCACACTATCGGGAGTCACTGCTACTCGGTGATTCCCTAGAGCTACCCCTCCTGCTGCGCAAGCTGCGAATGACATCCACGAGAGCAGAGTAACCCCTCTCAACCCTCTCCCCCATCCTGTCCGCAATCCGCTCGCGAGATGCGATTTCCTGTAGCACCAGCTCCCGGCGAGCCTCCACCTGCTGTGTCGCGATAGCCCGCATGGCTTCTATCCGCATCACAGTGCACTCTTTGTCGGAACGCGTCAACGCAACTGTGTGCGCACGCATGGCAATCGTCACAGACTGCACACTCGATTCCCGTGCACTGACATACCCTCGCTTGCGTTTCCCCAGCGTGGGCTCTATGCCCGCGCCCTGCGACCCAGAGGTAGATCCACCGACGCCAGCTGGCGGATCGCCGGATGCTCCTCCCGCCCCCGATCCATGGTCGGCTGCATCATCTTCATCTTCGAAACGTTCCTCGTCTGCACCGGAATCCATTAGATTCGACAGGTCGATGGAGTCCTTGTCCTTCTCGCCCGGGTCGATGATGTCGTACCAGCTCCTTTTCAGGACGAAATCAACGTTGTACCTCTTCCTCTAAGCTTTGTTCATATCCTAGTAGCTCTGCCGTCCGGACCACTTCTCGTGCGCCTTCAGCCTCCTATAGTATTCCATTATCGGATTGAACTTATTCTTACACTGCTCATCTCTACGGTTGTAACCCTTCTCCCGCATCCGCTGCTCCACTATCTTCCAGAACCCGGCCTTCAACCGAGCACGTCCGTACACCTCCGTATCTTCACCCATAAGCGTCCTCACCTCGTTCCGGAATCGACAAAGCCAGTCGGTTTCCGTATCCCCCCACCTCTTAGTATTCGGCGGGGGCGATGATGAGCCCGGGGCCGGAGGCGTGGACGCCCCCCCGCCCGACTGCGAGGCCGTAGTCCCGGCCCCGGACTGCAATCCGCTAGGGACAGGAGATGGCGTGTCCGTGCGTGCACCCGAGCTGCGACCACAACTGGGAGGTGTCTGCTGCTGGGGCGTTTCCTGGGCACCCAGGCCATTCGCTCCAACGTCGTTGTTATGCACAGGCTGAACTGGCGAGGCACTACGCTCGTTGTCACGGATCAAGTGGTTCAGCATGTAATAGGACTGGGTAGTCTGCTCATTGCATGGCAATGCAGTGTCACCTGCATCCTCCTGCATGTGCTGAAGTGACCCGTCGCCTCGATGGCCATGCGTTGTCCCCGACCCAGCAGGACTCCGTTGTCCACTGACYGTGGCACCYCCTCGAGAGAAAGCACCGGAGGCAGCGGGACTGGCATGGTGGACCGCCTCCGGCCTTGGAGCAGGGGCATCAGACCCTGCCAACACGCCACCATCCAAGTCCACAGGGAGACCGTCAGCAACACGCATCGCACGCTGCCTCAAGCGCTGCCGCAAGGTGTTTTCGTCCTCACCTCCCAATCCGATCCTGAAGCCGCGAACTGGTGTCACAGGCGATGACAGTGGTGCACCACCTGGGACTGCATTAGTCGGTTGCAGGCTGCCCCCCACACCGTCTGTCACCTTCCACATGGACGGAC